TAATAATAATAATAATAAATTGGAGATTCAGGAGTCACATATAAAATTTCAAGATAGAAGACTAGAAAAAAGATAACATCAATAAAGTAAACATGTAAGTTTTGTGGTTCATGCATTCTGTATTTGCAGCAGGACACTCAGTGACAGCAACTAAAATTGCAGAGATGGAAACACATTAGATAAAAAGAATAGTGAGAAACTCAGAGGGCTGCAGTTTGCACTTTTAGAAATATCCATTGTCAGGATGTGAAATAGGAAAAATTAGCTATGGAACGAGGTGTAGAAAGAGTAATTAAAGAGGTAGAAGAAGAATCAAGAAACTCAGAAAAGTGAAATGCAGGAATGAGCAGAGAGGGGAAGAACACACACAGAAGATGAGAGTACCTAGAGCTAAATGATGTAAAAAGTTCAGAGAAATGTGATTAATAAAGGGCTGTGGACTTACAAACTCTTAATGGCTTGAGAGATTTCAATAGTGTGGAAAAGACAAAGGACTTTAGGTAGTGTATGTGGTACAACATTAGAAGCAATAAGAAAAAACTGATTAAAAAGTCTAGCAGCAAAAGTATAGAGTGTTAACAAAAGTTCAAGAGATGTTTTTAAATGAAATAGGAGACCAGAGACTATTTCCTAGGAGTCAGTGGAGAGGGCAGGATTGGAGAAACTTGGGCCAGGATGAGTCTAGGAATGAAAATAATTCATGATGCAGCTAGACTTGGGAAGGTACAAGAGATATGATTCAGAAGAAAGGCAGCTGGTGTAGCAGAAGCAGCTCCACATTGGGAGTTAAGAGACATATGTTCTTCTCTTGGCCTGGCCACTCAGCAGTTGGGAAATCTTGGCAAAGGGATTTTGTGCTTTCTTTTAAACTCAGTATTCTCTTAATTCTGAAGTAGTCAGGCTAAATTGTCTCAAAATTAACGTGTACCTCTAAGTATTCTGATTCCACAGTAAGGATGAATGAAGAGGAATGGATGGAAACCTGTGTATTTGTGTATAGGAAGAGGACAGATGAGGAAGTTTACTTCTGATTCCCTTAACCTGGGGGCCAGCTGTCATCCACTGGGGAGGTGGAATTGGAGTATATAAGCAATTCACAATCAGACTTTATTTTTAACAATTACTTGTCCAGAAGCACTATTCCAAGCAGGAGATGATGCAGTAGAAACAGGTCAGAGGCCTGAGCTTAAGTTATAGTTGCAGTATAACTTAAATATTTAAGTATTTTCTGTGTGGTTTAAACTAGGTAAATAATCATTTTGAGCCTCATAGTCTAGAAATAAGAGATAATTACCATTATAGAACCATTGTGAGAAGCTTTGTAAACTGGAGCACATTATATTAATGTAACTAGGTTTGTCCATCAGAAATTCCTCCAGGTCCTGTAGTAGTAAAGCCAAAGTAATAGTCCTTGTAATAGCAATAGTAGTGATGGTAATATTAATAATAGCTAACATTTACACAGTGTCATGCATTCAAAATATTTCAGATTTCACGGCATTTCGGGTGCTTAACCATAAAGTCTGCAAATATTTCAAAACCTGAAAAAAAACCCCTCTGAAATATGAAACACTTTTGATCCAATGCATTTCAGATAAAGGATACTCTAACAGTATGTAGCTTACCATATGTGAGGCACTGTTGTAAGAGTTTGTGTTGTTTAATCCTTAAAACAAACCTATGAAGTAGCATTAGTATTATTTCTACATTATAGACAAAGAAATTGAACCACAGAGTGTTAAGTGACATATCTCAGGTCACACTGAGTGACAGAGCTAGAATGCAGACCTATGCAGTTTGACTTCTGAGTCCATGCTCATGAGTGTGCCTCAGTTTAATAAGATAAGTGGACTAGAATTAAATTGCTCTCTTTTTAAATGAATTTTTAATACCAGGATTACTTGAATTGAGAAATGGCAACTCAATTGAATGGTAAATATGGTCAGACTAGAATAGTAAACCACAGAATTCTCTTAAAAAGTATGTCTTGCTTAAGTGAAAAATGTTAGTTGACAGTTCTTTTAAAATCTAAAGACAATTTGATTTTTATTTTTTCAGGAACATAAAGAGGGGCAGCTTACATCCATGCCCCGAGAGGTTTGTAGATCATTTGTGAAAATTATTGCAGAAGTCCTTGGATCTCCTCCAGATTTGGAATTATTGACAGTTATCTTCAATTTCCTTTTAGCAGTTCACCCTCCTACTAATACTTACGTTTGTCACAACCCCACAAACTTCTACTTTTCTTTGCACATAGGTAGGTATAATCATTTTTGTTAGATTTTGGGTATTTCCACTTCGTCTTATTTTTTTCTACCTGATCCATATTTGTTTGATATTCATTGAATGCACTTTCTGTGCTAGAAAATACCCTAATAACACACTGGGGTGGGGACAAGGCAGAGGGTTATAGAATGAAAATGGTCTCTGCCTCCAGGGAGCTTAAATACCAAAAGGAGAAAGGAGACACACACAAATAACGACTAAAAAATAATATTTGCTAAGTACACAGATGGAGAACTAAAGAAATTTCAGAGGAGAGAAGGTTTCATCAGACCATTATGGGGAGAGAATATTTAATAGATTTTATGATATCTGTAGTGGCCATTGAAGAATTAAGGTAGGATTTGATAGGTAGATTGGACAATTAGCATTGCATGCAAAGAGAATGACTTGAAGAGAGGAAAAATGGAAGAAAATAAAGAGCAATTTTTCCTAAGTACATATGCAAAATCTATAAAGGAGAAATGAAAAAATAATACTATGAATATAGTTTAAGACCCCTATTTATTTACCCTAAGGTAAATGAACCATTGAATGTACCACCAGAGAATTTGAACTCACATTCTACAAAGGCTGATTAAACTATACAACATGTACAAGCTGGCAATTTAGCTCAGTGGCACATAACCTGCCTCACAAGTGCAAGGTCCTCAGTTTGATCCCTGGTACCAGAAAAAAAAATACAGCATGTATTTAAAATTTTTTTATTACAGTAAAAGGCACATTGCTATTCCCTGCTCCCCTTTTCTCCCCCTCACTTCTAAAACCCATCCCATCATTCTTGCCATTTTTTTTTTTTTTTTTTTTAGTGGCTGGCTCAATGTACTGAATTGATTTAGAAATTTTTTTTTTTTTTTTTTTTTTTTGGTACTGGGGATTGAACTCGGGACCTTGTGCTTGCGAGGCAGGTGGCGGAAGCATTGAGCCAAATCCCCGGCATTCTTACCATTTTCTAAAGTAGTTCTGAAAGTCCTCTTTCATGAGTGGCTTTATGAGGTGTGATAAATACACTAAATGCTGTCGCCAAGTGACATCCAATGGAAAGACAAGCTTGTGAAAACATTATGGTGTGGGCTGGGGATTTAGCTCAGTGGTTCCGCTGCCTGCCTCTCAAGTGCAAGGTCCTGAGTTCGAGCCCTGGTACCAAAAAAAAAATGTTTAAAAGCATTATGGTGTGTTCTCATCTACCTTATTGACTACAACTGGCAGCATGCAACTTCTGATTCTTCCCCAAAGTCAAAATGACCATGAAAGATAAACATTTTGAATTGATTCAGGACATCAAGGCAGCCATAACAGCAACCCTAAAGAGATGAAAGAAGACTGCCAGAAGTTCTTCAGAAAGTGGCAAAAATGGTTCCACTGCCTGCCTCGCAAGCGGAAGGACCTGAGTTCGATCCCTGGTACCAAAAAAAAAAAAGAAAGTGGCAAAAATGATGGGATAAATGTGTTTGAAGTGAGGGGAAACATCTTAGAGAGGGATTAATGGCAATAAGTGAGGGGGAGAATCTTGGGGGGATTAATTGCAATGTGTGTTTTACTGTAATAAATTTTTTTCAAAATACACTTATACATTCACTGTATATTTTGATCAAATCTCAGAGATCATTTGCTTGGTTTTACTTGTTGGCTTATTTGTTTTTGAGTAAGAGGATATGATATAAGTAAATTATTGCAGTAGAAGTGAGAAACGAGGCATTAAGACCAATTGTAATAGTCTATAGGAAACATGAAATGATAAAATCTGGGCATAGTAGAAGTGGAATTGGAAAGGAGGAATTAAAGAGAGAACTGAAAAGGTTGGAATAGGATGGCTGTGGGGATGTTAGGACAGAAGATGATTACTTTATAATACATGTTGCATTTGAGGTGCCCTGTGATAATTGTCTATCAGGCAATTGGAAAGGGTAGTAACACAGGGCAGTTATAAGGAGCTACCTGCATAGGAGTGAGTAGAAGCTCTGAGATTAGATGAGACCACTAAGAGTAGTGTAGAGAGGGAATGAAAGAGGAAGCTATGGATAAAACTCCTGGTAATATTACTACTCAGAGGATACAAAAAGAAAGAGGAATCAGTATAAGAGAAAGGTGGAATAATCAAGAGTTTTTAATGAACTGGAAAAAAGTAATGTAAAAAAGAAAGCCAGAGTGAACCTATGAGAAAGATAGGTGGTAACTTTAGAATGGAAAACCAACTACACAATATTTCAAAGAAATTAATAAATGAATAAAATGCTGAAGCAATAGTAAAAGTCCAAATGTAGATTGCATGACTGTGTTAAATTCAGCACATTTAGTGAGTGAAGTATTATGGAAGATTTGGTGAGAAGGATAGTTAACAAAGATGAGTAAAATATGATCCCCCCCTTAAGAGGCTCATGGCTAGTACAGGAAAGAGAAATATAAACAGATGGTTACACCTTACGAAGTGGACACCACAAAGATGGACATTAGCATTTTATTTTCTGGTAGCATAGAGCATGGTGGGAGCTGAGGGCATGTTTCCTGGAGGAGGCTATGCCTGCTCCCAGTCTTAAAGGGTGAATACCAATCAAAGGGAAAGGCCTTTCAGGCAAAGGAAATGTCTTGACTGGCACCTCTGAGAAGTGGGTGTTGCTGAAATGTAATATAAGAAACAAGGCTAGACAGACCCCTGGAGACAGATCATGAAGAGTCTTATAGACAAGAATCCCAGATGGTAAGGTTTTTTAGTAGGAATTGACATTTGAGAGAGAGAATTTTAGAGGCCATGGTGCTTTGAGGGTGACAAGTTGTCCATCAGAATACCATTTAGACATCTGTGTCACTGATGCAGGTGAGAGATGACAAAGCCTGTATCATAGCACTATGGTAGGGAAGAGAAGAGTTTAAGAAACTGAAAACAAAGTCAGTAGGACCTGGTGACTAATGTGGATGAAAGAAAACTGGTGGTTGAGTTGGCTGTAGCTCTCCATGGGGAGTGAACAAATCCTTCTACCAAACTAACTAGAAGATAGAACAGGAGGAATGAATTGAGGGCAGGAAGATGATTAAGATTTAGAGTTATTGCATTTGCAGAGCATTTACAAAATCAAGCACTTGGATTTATAAGTATGAAGCACAGAAAGAAGATGAAGCTGAAGGTATTAGTTTTGGAATAAAGTTAGACACTGAAAGAGATGTATAAAAGCATAAGACATGGTCCTTTTCTCAAGGAATAAATAGATAAGCAGTCTCTGAAGAGAGAGCATAAGGACATGTATAAAGCAAACAGTTAAATGAAAATTATAGAAACAGTTCCAAGTACAACTGGAATTCAAAGAAAGTAGAAGCTAATGTGGCCAGTAATAACAACAAAGAAATATAGAGTAAGAAATTAGAGTGAATATTCATATGTATATATTCATATTCATATTCAAGTGTAACTGGTATAAATAAGCCATGTCTTTGCCCTTTGAGTATTTTTTGGTCAAAATTTATACTTAATGATTTGCTTTCAAAGTTATATTTTTGGCTGCACGTGGTGGTGCATGCCTGTAATCCCAGCACTCAGACTGAGGCAGGAGGATTGCCATGAGTTCAAGGCCAGGTGGGGTTACACAGTGGGTTTAAGGCTAGCCTCAATAGTAAGACCCGATCTAAAAAGAAAAAGTTATATTTTGTTTCATTCTTTTAAAAAATTTTTGCCATCTCAAAAATTTTTTGTTTATTTAGATGGTAAGATCTTTCAGGAGAAAATGCAATCAATCATGTACCTGCGGCATTCCAGCAGCAGAGGACAATCCCTCAACAGTCCTGGTTTCATGGTTATAAGTCCATCTGGTTTTACTGCTTCACCTCCTGAAGGTAAAAGAGACAATAATGAAATTATAACTTCCCATTTTGGTCTTGAATATTCATAGATTGAATTGTACATGTTTTTAGCAGTATAGTACAACCTGATATTTAGAATAAATAGAATAAATGCATGGACAATTAAATTAAACTTCAGACTCATAGAATATGTTTAAACCCATTTTTAGTACTATCTGATATCAGTAACTCATGTAACATCCATTCCAGGTCCTCAGGAGAGCTCAGAAAATTGGATGATGCTCATACCATCTTCTCTGGCATTCTCTGTCCTTTCTTAGTCTTAGCATAGTCATTTGTCTTTCATTAAACTTCTGATTTATTTTCCCATTTTCTTCAGAAGGTTTTTTGGTTTTTTTGGTCCTCTCTCCTTTCTACTAAACCATCATTCTAGACAATGGCTGTTACATGTGGAAGCCATCAGTCCTCCAGCCACGTGTTGCTTGTCACCTCTGTCCTGGAGGTGACCATCATCATGAAGGCTTCTAGGGACCTTGAAACCTTGGGGCTCCATTCCCTGTTCTGTTTGTATGAATGGTGTTAAATAACCCACATCACTGTCAAACATTTCCACATACAGTCATGCTCCCATTTTTTTCAGGTCTTTTAAACAGACTCTTTCGGCAGTTTTAGCCCTCCTGCCAACCAGAGAAACAGAATCCTCTGGGGACTTCTGATACACTAAAAAAGTCGAAGAAGATGCATTGTTCCTTTCTAATCCACTCTTGGGTAAAAACCTCCTATCTTTCTGGCCTTTTTTTTCTTTTTAAGTTTAATTAATTTTAAAAAAATTTTGAGACAGGGTCCCACTTGCCCAATCTAACCTCAAGCTCACCATTCTCCCTCTTCAGGCTCCCAAGTAGCTAGGATTGCAAATGCATGGCATGCACCTCACTTTTTTGGTTTCTTTATCATGATCCCAAGTTCCCTTTGCCTCTGCAAAGATCCCATTTGCCAATTTTCTTGGGTTTTTTGTTGTTTTTTTTTTGGTACCGGGGATCGAACTCGGGTCCTTGCGCTTGCGCAGCAGGCGGATACACCACTGAGCTAAATCCCCGGCCCCAATTTTCTTGACACCATCTTCAGTTTCCTTGTTCCCTGGGCCTGTTGATATTCAAAAAACCCTAAGCCAAACTCAGTCTGACCATCCTCACACTGCTGAAGACTGTCACAAGGCTTTCAATGCTCCCCTGTCATTTTTTCTGTGTTCATAATCAATTCCACTTCTGTTTATACAGTAAGTATATTCAAGTCTTTATACTGATTGTATTTTCCTATCTTCCTAAATTACCCTTAACAAACTACCATATCTGCTTTACTGAAAAAAAAAAAAAACTGGTGCAAGTTTCCTAGTATAAGTTCTCTTCTGTGCTGGGACATTCCTTTTATTGTCAGTCCAACTTAATCTTTTTCCTCTAACTCCAGTATAATTAATACGTACTGCAGGCAAGACATAGATATAGGAAGGTAGGACTGGATACTTAGGAATTAATCTCCAGGGTTTTTTTACCTTCCAGAGTATTTTAGTTTTCTTTATCACATTTTATGGTGTTTTAGTATAATATCTAAGACAGTGGAAATGTGTATTATTAATTAGGAAATGTGTATTTTTTAAATCACATGCATTACTCTGAAACATTTTCAAATACAATCATACTGGCATTTTTTCCAGAATTTTAAAAACAAATCTTTTGGCAGTATTAGCCCTTCAACCAAAATCCCGAATAATCAGAAAAAACATCTGGGCTATGGAGCTGTTTTATTACCTCAAAGCCTATATACTTACATTTATTCTGTATCACTGCATCTCAAGTGTACACAAAAGGCACCTGGAGAGGCTCCTGCCCCTGCTAACATTCTGGTTCAGTGGATGTATGCAAGAGCTTGAGAATGCAAAGTCCTAATCATCATGTAGGTGCTGGTGCCCATGCTGCTGATCCACAAACCATACCTTAAATAGTGTGCACCTAAATCCTGTACTCTTGCAATAAGAGGGATTTTTCTGGTCTCCTCCTACATTGGATATTAGAAGTAGTAAATTGGAGATCTGTAGCATGAAGAGAGAAGGCTATTGTTTCTCTCCTAGAACACTACAGATGGGGGAGAGAGAGAATAGTCTAGAGCCATTATTAGTAATAACAATTACTAATATGTATGAGCTACACAGTAGTTATTCTGAACCCTCATTATACATTGGCAGAAACTAACATTCATGTAATATAATTGAGTAATTTACCTATGACCACTGAACTAGCAGAACTGTCATTTGAATCCACTCATATCTAGGTACAAAGCCTAAACCTTTTCCACTGTATCACTCTGCATTCTGGTGACTACTGGCCTGAATAAGTTCAGCTCCACTTCATTCACGTAATTTCACTGTTGCAGATCCATTAATCCTAATGACTTTGAATCATGCTGTGTCCATTTTTTATTAAGGAGACAGAAAAAGACAAATTTTTGTAATATTTTAATAAAAATTATTAAAAGAAAAAATAGTGTTGGCATTTAAGAAATTTAAATGTTAATTACTAGGAAAAATAACTTAGATGAATTCCTGAACAGTAGTAGATAGGTAGGCTATTACCATGGTTGTAATTTGTGCAGAAGAGAAGTGGTCCCATTTAACAGAATTTTAAGTAATGTATTTCTCTCTACTCTTACTAGGAAGCAGTTTCTCCAATATTATTCCACCAGGGATGGCTGCCCACATGCTACGTTCTAGAAGCCTACCAGCATTTCCTACTTCACCACTAATGCAGCCACGAAAATTGACTGGAAGTTTGGGTTGCAGTACTGACAAGTTACAAAACATTGTAGATACTTATGTTCCTACCCAAGCAGAGAAACAGAATCGTTTGGGGAGCTCTGACATGCTGCAAGCAAGCAAAGAGGATGCATTCATCAGTAGCTGTGAGTCTGCAAAAGCTATTTGTGAACCAGAAGCTATTTCTACAGCCCAAATCTCTGCCAATGGTGTTCCAAAAGGAGCACTGGGATTTCCCATGGGGAGAGTAGATCATAAAGACTTGGAAGCAGAACCCAGATCAGATGATGACAGTCCTGGGGACGAATCCTGTCTGCGCCGACCTGATAACCTAAAGGGACTGGCCTCGTTCCAGCAAAGCCACAGCACGATTGCGAGTTTGGGGCTAGCTTTCCCTTCACAGAATGGAGCTGCAGCCTTGGGCCACTGGCCCAGTCTTGTTGATAGGAGCACTGATGATTGGGAAAACTTAGCCTTTCCTCTTGGTTACAAGCCCAACTATAACAGAGCTACAAGTGCTCACAGGTACTCGTGCATTTTGTGTGCCCTCTCCACTTTTTTGTTTTGTTTGGTTTTGTTTTTTGGTACCAGGTATCGAACTTGGGTCCTTGCGCTTAAGAGGACGGCGGCAGAACCACTGAGCTAAATCCCCGGCCTACCCTCCCCATTTTTAAATGGTCTTTGAAGACTCTACTTCTGGAAATGTCGTCATTATGCCACTTCTTAAAATACAACATTGTGTTAATACCAAACAGAAGAGTGCCTTTTTCCTCATTGTATTTTTTCCCTTGTTTTAATATTAGATAGTATTAATTCCATGTCCAGCTAAGGCTAAATAGCTCTCAAAGAAAAATTTCTCTTTTGGCTTAATTCCTTGTCATTATTAGAGAAAAATTCTTTATTTCAGGGAAATGATCAGACTGATTCTTCTTCCCAGTGGCATCTCAAGGAGCACCATGCAGCGAAACTTTTTGTAGTGATAGAAATGTCTTCTCTGTGCTGTCCCTTATCATGCACACCAACCATATTCCTGCTGAGCACTTGAAATGTGACCAGTGCAGCTAAGAAACTTAACTTTTAATTTAATTTTAAATTGTTGAAATAGCATAAGTGGCAGTGACTACTGTATTAGACATAGATTCAGACTACAATAGTGTTTAGTATACTATATGCCTAAAAATATCAGTAATAAAAAAAAATCAGTAATAAAAAGTGAGGGTAATTTTGTTAATCACAGTTAAATTAGGAAATATTTCTTAAACCTTATTGTTCCACATAAAATTACCATTCGTCATAGATCCTGAGGTAATCATCATGTAGTTTTCTCCCTGGCACTGTTAGTAAGACTTTTTTGGTCTCCGTCTTAGTGTCACTGAAGACTGCTTGGTACCTATATGCTGTGGATTATATGAACTCTTAAGTGGTATTCTCCTCATCCTGCCTGATATTATGCTGGAAGATGTAATGGAGAAGCTTATTCAAGCAGATACACTCTTAGTCCTCGTCAATCATCCATCACCACCCATACAACAAGAAGTTATTAAAGTAAGGGCAAGTCCTACAGAAGTGTTTTAATTCAAGAAAACAAACATACATGTATTTTAAATTTTTGAATGTACTTAAATATGTTAAAGTAAACAAACTTTTAAAAATGTTTTAAAATATATTAACTTAAAGTTTTATATTTAGAAATAATGAACTTATGTATATATATAGTCTGTCATTTCCTACTTGTATTTTGTATGTATCAGCTGTAAGACTTTCTCCATATATTGATTCATATTTTTAAAAATCTACCAATAAATTCACATATCTGAACATTTAGTAACTCACAAAAATTTACAAGGAACACGTGGTTCACTGCAGCCAGTATCAAGTTTTGAACATTTACTTCACGTTTCAGCTCAGATGTCACCTTATCAAAAATTGCTTCCCTCTAGCCCTACCTCTTAATTATTCTATTAAGGCATCCTAAGTACCTCTTAAAATTATCTTTTTTATTTATTTGTGTACTTAGGTTTTTAAAGTCTACTATGAGGGTGGACATCTTGTGTCTAGTGTATGACAGATACTAACTAAACTGTTGAATGATGAGTGTTTTGGCCTCAATTAGAAAATCACTCAGTGTTGAACTGGTCTTCAGTGACTCTTATTTTCTTTAGTTTGTCTGGATGTAGATATTCTTTAATCTCTTGCATCTCAACCTAGTATTTATTGAGCCTCCATTCCATGTGCAAGACCCTTGGCTAGTTAGTTACTATGTTGGATTTTAAAAAGGGAATAATATGAGTCCTTACATTCTGGGAATTGATACTCCAGCATGGAAGGGAGGCACATACCCAGTATAAGGAATTCTGTAGAGTCCTGTCATGGCAATATTGATAAAGATGAACGAGAGCACAGGACAAGCAAATAACTCTGATAGGGGAAGCAGGGAAGAATGTATGCATGCAAAAAAAGTTTTGATAATATACTGTAAACTTAGGAAGTTTTTAAAGCAAAGTGGTAAATGGTTGTGTGTTTGGGAAAGTATTAATACCTGTCACTACTGTGAGGGAGAGTGTGAAAGCGAGGTAGAAGTATTCTGTTAGCAGGCTAGCTTAGTAACCCAGGGGAGAAATGACTATGACTGTTAGCGGGGTAGGCTAGTATCCAGAGAAAAGAATGAGAAGGGTTCCCAAGTTGGACTAATGAAAGTAAAAGGACACACAGATTTGAGAGGCTTTTGCTGGAGTGGAAGATAGGTACCTTCATAACTGAATGTGCCAACCAGAAATAGAAAAACCAAAAGTCAGTTTTACATTGAAGTTTAGAGGAGTGGTGCTAAGATCCATTTAAGTGTGGAATCGGAAAAAGTGGGTTTGGAAGGAAAAGTAATTAGCTGAGTTTTACATACATTTTATTTAAGATACTAAACAAGGGTGAAAATTCCAGCCTGTGCTCAGGATAAATACTCTGTTAGGAAGTCTAGAAATAGGACTGAGAGTGTGGCTCAGGGGTAAAGGACCTGCCTAGCATGCATGGAGTTCTTGGTTCAATCCCCAGTACCATACACACAAAAATGTGTAGAAATACAAGTTTAGAATAGATTTGCAGGGAAAACATAGTGCACTGAATTTTTTCTTCATAATTAGGCACAGATATTCCACTTACACTCAACTAAAATTGCCAGGCTACTAGGTGTCCATGCTCAGCGGGGAATGCCAGCTTTCCCACCACAGAAGAATTAAGATCTCCAGGACAGAGTCACAACAGCATTCTACAGTGTCAGAATTAATTCTTCTATAGAGGTGGCATCTCTTTGTGTAGTCTTCTGTGTGTATTAATAATTTATAAATACAAGTATGCTACATTGATTTACATATATTAAATTTTAACATAAGATCTAAATTGTCTTAAATTTTTTCTTTAGCTATTACATGCATATTTTAATAGAGCATCTAAGGAGCAAAAAGATAAATTTCTGAAGAATCGTGGCTTTTCCTTGCTAGCCAACCAGTTGTATCTTCATCGGGGAACTCGGGAATTGTTAGACTGCTTCATTGAAATGTTCTTTGGTCGACGTATTGGCCTTGATGAAGAGTAAGTGGGTTCTCCACCATAACTAGGGATCCTTTGTTTTAAATGTAAAATTTAGTGAACTCACTCTTTTTTTGTCTGTGTGAATTCACTCTTAACACAATTATTTTCTCACCTTTAGAAAAAAATCATCTAAAAGTAATTTTCCAAGTGAATCAATTTATTTTCTTTTTTTTTTTTTTTGGTACCTGGGATTGAACTTGGGACCTTGCACTTGCAAGGCAGGTGCCAGAACCCCTGAGCTAAATCCCCAGCCCAATTTATTTTCTGTGTGATAGTCTTTCTACTGTATGTCTTCCTTTGTGTTTCATTCACTAGCTAAAAACTAGAAATAAGTGTTGTATCAAATGAAAGAAATTGATAATGATTTTACATCTAGTATTAACATGAGAAAGTTGCCTGAAGAGAAAGATGGCCCATTTGTTCTCAATGACAGATTACACAGGTAATCTGTTCCGTCCTCTTGGAGTCCCCAGCTCATCTGGGAAAAGAATGGCCTCCTCCTTGGAAGGCCTAGACCTACTGATGGCTGAGATTTAACCCCAGTGTTGTGCTGAAAGATTAGCAAATAAGTATAAAAATAAAAGGATATTTTTCACCCAGTCCATAAGTTTGGCAGAAAAGTTATTTTCTTTTTATAATAGAGAAATATATGCTCTCTGATTGTGGTATACAGAGTCAAACCTTGAGGTATTAACTCATTTACTGTGGTAATTTCAGTGGTACTATATACTTGCATACAACTTTTGACTTCTCCAAAGTAACTCTGCATTATCTTATTTGAGTCTCACAACAGTCTTGAGTAGAAAGAAGTGCAGATATCATCACATATATTTGATACATGAAAAAAATGAGGCAGAACAGGCTTAAATAATTTTCCTGCATCACAGAGGCAAATAGTTTTGGGATAAGAACTCAAGATTCATTTCTTTATGCTAACCCTCTTTTGATTATCTCACTGTATTTCAAATAAATAAAATACTGATACTTTTCCTATATGCCTATTATAAGCCCTTAAAGCAGAGGTTCTTTGGATATAAGACCCCCATGAAATGAGTTAATCAGTTAAAACTCTGAAATTGTATGTATCATTCTTCTGAACATTTGTATATCTTAGGATGAACCTCTGACAACAGCCTTTATCTTATTTTTGGAGAGGATCTATAGCCAAAAGGCTAAGAAACTTTATTCCCCAAATTTATTTTTAGAGCTTGAAATGGTTAACAAAATGGCCTGTAGTCTCAAGCATTCATTCTTTTTTTTTTTTTTGTATTAAATTCTTTCATTGGTACATTTTAGGTATACAACACAATTACATTTCTCATTGGGAACTTGTACCTTTACATAATGCATCTTGGTTCTTATTT